TTTACACAGTTGACAGAAATACTAATGAGAAATACATAAAGAGAGATCCTGCAGCAATTTTAGATGCCCTTAAAACCGAAGGTAAATCATCAACCAGAAACCATGCCCAGCATAACCCCCTCTTCTAGATCTGTTTCACAAAAGGGAATAAATGCTTATTTCTGTTTCTCATTAATCTACAAAATGGCATTCAGATAAAACATGCATATAATAAGAAGCTTAAGGAATGTTTTCCTTAGAAAAGCTGATTTGGCTGCACTGACACCTCCTGCCACATCAATGGATCAATGGAAATTGGACAGTTAAGCAGGCAAACATGCCCATTGGGGTATGTAGCTACAAAGTTTGAACTCACCAAAAAAGGGATCAACTGTCCTCAAACCTCCATGTCCCAGGGAAATGTGCAGGAGGTAAAACGTTTAATAATAATTAATATAACTCTATACATGTTGAAGTAAAATCCCTTCATGCTGATCTCTAACACACTGCAGATAATTTAGCTTCACATTGGGCTGACCCCTTCTTTTTTTGTATATTAATACTCACATGCAAAGTTGTTTGAAGATTGTTACCAAGGTCACAAAGTCAATGGGTCATACCAGGCTATGTAGTATACGAGATTAATGAGACTTACAGTCTGTAGCTAAAAGAATTGATAAGGCTGGTGTCACACCTACTTGGGTCGGAACCTCAGCACATGTTATGAAGAAGCTATTTACAGTTGAGATTCCTGGGCAAATTTGCAGGAGTTCATGACATAGCTTAAATTCACATCTCTAGTTTGTAGCAATTGTCTTAAATGCTCTGCTCCAATCCCCTTAAAACCATTTAAAAGTTAGGAAATTTTGTTGCTTGGGAAGGCTTCTTTCTGCCTCAGGCAGCAGTTTTGAATTGCAATTTCCAGTTACATCATCATGTCTTTCTACACGTCACCTTCCTGCTCAGTAACAAACTGTTTGGTAGATAGTGAACTGGGTTGCTGCTGGTGCTAACACATTATCCTGCATTGGAGGATGTTGGTGAGTGAGGCTGACATGTAGAAAGAAAACATGTATATTGGCCTGGAAGGACAGATCTGCCTCAGCTATTTAAAACAGTGTCCTGTAGAAAAGGCACTTGTAGGTAGAAATTTATCCCAGTTCTCATTGATGGATATGTCAAGACACCCATCTTAAAATGGGTGTGTCCTAGAAATGCCCAGTTTCCCCTACCAGCTGTAGGGAGGGCCTGGACCATGTCTAGTCACAGAAGATTTACTCTTAGTCTGGATGAATAAAATTGTTGTGGGGAAAAAAAACCAAACAAAGAAACAAACCATTCTGAAGCTATTAAGTATATCTGAAGCCAACAAACCAAGTTCTTTGGGTTTCTTTGGGAATAAACTTTCTTGCCCTGGAGTGCTTCCCAGCAACACACGCAAAAGAAAGAAAAGCCTTGCATTTGGAGGATACCACAATGTTCAGGCTAGACTGCCCACGCATAGAAACATGATTTTGTTTTGGAGCAGCTTTTCAATTGCCCTAAAATGATCTTCAGGACTAACCTCACCAGTTTCTGATATATTTGTTTATAGATTTGATTATATTCATATTTAGGAAAAGCATACCTTAGTCACTTAAATGCTTCTACCCCAGTTAGATTTGCTTTAACTTTTCAGTTATAGTCATAAGAGTCAGCACTTGCGAAAAACTGTGTAATTTAAAGTCACAGCTGCATCAGCATCAGAAATAATATTTTATTTAAATTAGATGTATATATGGTGGTGACTTCCAATAATTCTATAAGCTTTTAGGTCTTTTAGCTCACTTGAAAATGGTCATGACTTGAGAAGAATTCAAGTTTTACATAATAATATTAAGCATTATTGCATGGTAATATATATGGGAAATAAGGAAATAGAACCCTCTAAGACTTCTGTTTCTGGTGGACTCAGCTTTACCTGGTGGTGAGTCCATCTTGGAGCCAGCTGAAACTGGCTCTTTTTTTTTTGGTCTAGAAAAGATAACATTTACCAACATTAGTTCAAGTGTTTACAATAAAACTCTTTGGTAATGCCTTCAGCATTTCTTAATCAGACAGATCTCATTCGAAAACAGAAAACATTCTGATTAGCTTGAGTTTTGTTAGCTTTTGCCATTCAGAAACATTTGGTGGGAAAGAAACCTATGTGAACTGAAGCTCCAACATCTGGCTGTCTTAAGCAAAAGTTAAACTGGAGGTGTAAATTTGTATCTTGGTGTTTTGTAAATTTTTTTATTATATCAGTGGAGAGTGTCTAGTAAGTGACATTTATCACTGTATTCTATTAAAGCCTGCCTGGAAGATTCAGGAAAGTGTTATCAGTGAGTGCACATACATAGACTAAAATAAATGGTTACATGCTTTAGATTACAACATTACTTTTGCTTTCATACGTTTCCAGTACCTTAATCAAAGATATGTCATGGAATTATATTAAACATACATCATATATATACAATGCATACTTTACATTCCATCTCTACCAGCCTTAAAATACAGATCAGAAGATATATTGTAAATTGCTCAGGGGTGTATCCTCCTCAGCCTCTTCATTCCAGTTGCTCAGGGGTGTATCCTCCTCAGCCTCTTCATTCCAGTGGGAATATTTTCCATTAAATTCACAAGGCTTTGGATTCAGGTCCTTATTGTCTTTTTAGCTTTTGCCAGTCAGGAATAAGTTCCTCATTCGATGATAACCAAAAATGGTATGGGCCAAACAATGTGACTGCTAGGTGAGAAACCTGCCTCTTGATGGTCCAGAAACCACCTGATTATACTTATGGGCTGTTGAAAGGCCAAAGGAATTTTCAGATTTTATATTGGGTTTTCATCACAATGTAAGAGCCAGTTCACCAGTTCCAGAGTTTATCAACAGGGAAACTTGAAATTGATGAGGTTACTTCTTTTTTTTCAACTGATATATCTGCATATGTGTTGCACAAGATATTCAATAATAATTTTGGTGATACAATTAGCCAAAGATAAAAGTTTTGGTAATATCCAGAGATTTAATAACTTAAATAATCCTGGAAAATTAATGCATGTAGCTACACAAGGATTTTATTTAGCTCCCACTGGTTTCACTGTGAGTCATCTTTGTGGCACAGATGATATATACATTTCTTGTCTTGTGAGGCCAAGCATTTTGGGCGGGCTGAACCACAATTATGGTTCTCTGGAGCTACAACAAAATGGGGCTATGATCTTTTAAAAAGTTGAAACACTCATTAAAATTAGTATTCGATATGACAAATGTATTTGAGTTTTTTTTTAATGTAAATATGCTGTGGGTTTATTTTATTTATTTTTTCAATAAAATTTGATATTGTATGATTGATATGTATGTGGAAATAAATTGTTTTCAGCACTCCTGGTCTCCAACTGAATAACAAAGAAGAAATACTAGTCTGCTTGATTTGGAGTAATTTTCTTTTCTGAATTTGCCAGGGAAGGATAAGGAGCGGGACAGAAGCAATTTGACTACACTATGTTCTTGCTACTATTTTCCTGATGACACACATATGAATGAAACTGAACCTAGGGAAACGTTAGAATATTTTGATTCTTATGTTCTCTAAACCTAATGTTGCTATTTTATTATATAAAAATTTAATGCTTCTTTTCTCTTGGTGCCAAAATAGAACGGTATTTCCCTGACTGACATCTTTGTAAATTCACTAAGATCAGCTTTTGTGTTAGAAATGAATAGGGAAAGGGTTTAAAACTCAGCTGATGCATATAGCTCCTGCAGATCTTTTTTAGGTCAGCTGGTTGTAGTTCTCATTTTGTTTCAGCTCAGAGGGATCTTTTGTTTGTTTATCTTGGTGACGTGTAGTAAGAAAAAACTCTGGGCTGTATTCTGCCAATATATTATGCAGAGAACACCCAGAGTCCACAGTACTTTCCCAAGATGAGATGATAGATACAGAGATTGGCAGGACGAACTAGATGATCTAATGAGTTTTTCTTTTTTTTCTGTCTAACCTCTAATACATAAATTTAGAGAAGAAAGATACTGACACATTTGTCCCTTCAGCCAAAGTTTTGAAAATGTTGGAATGATTGCAAATAGCCTCTGTTTAACAGAGATAACTCTAATTTAGATTTCAGCTTGGATTTTGCAGCAATTGTGCTGAAATGAAAATCATAGTCACTGAAAAGTGTATATTTCACTGCATGATAGAAAGGATTTTTTAATTTAAATCTTCCCTACTCTTTCTCACGGGGAAATGTATATAAGACATCAGAAAAATGTGTACTTTGCAATACAGTTGGTAATGATAAGATCAGGTTATGAATATATTTCAGTTCCTGTTGACTAATAACATTTTGATATTTATGATGAAAAGGCTGTGGAAGTTTAATATTTAAAATATTAAAATATCAAAAGTGGCAATAAGAAGAATAATGTTTTCTAAAATGTGCTCTTCCACGATTACATTTGCTGTGGAGTACAGGTCTTGACAAATTCTTTCCTAAAATATTTTTTTATACTCATTTAATTGCTAAGAGGAATTAAATAAGTGACAGTGGGGATTCCTTGCTGGTTTATGTAGTCAGTTGTTACATTTGAAAGAATGACTTTGTAACTCATGATTTCATATTTTGGGAAAGCAGGGTTTGTTTTTTTTTTTTTTTTTTTTCAGTGTATGAGCTTGTAGTTTTTGCTGGGCAGACTAGTCTTGGACATTTCAAATACTCTCAAATAACATATTCTTCTCTTTCAGTGACTGTGTCAAGAACATGACTGCTGCAACATATATCCACATGTAGGTGGTCAGCACAGCAGGAAAATGCTAGGACTATAAGACAAATGATAGGTATAAATTATTTGCAAGCTCAGGTAACTGCAATTTGACTTTTTTGAGCCTGTAACAATGCCCCCAGAGACAAAAGTGTGAATTTCTGTATATCATTGCATTTTCATGGCCTTGGCATTAAGTAAAGGTTGCAACTCTAGGTTTTTGGATTTCCCTACTCATAAATAACAGCCATTTTGTTTTTTTTATGTCTGATTTTTTGCATGAAATATGTATATTCTAATCCTTGCTGAGAAGTCTTCAAGGAATAACAGTGTAGGGTTTTTGGTATAATATTTCATCTCACATATTTGCAGAAACCATACATCTTTGGTGTTGAAGTTCCAACACCTATATCAAGGGCTTGTGTATCAAAGCCGTGTTCTTCTGTATTCTAGTGTTTAAAAATTTGCTGATCATGACTGACAGGTTTACAGAGCTAACATGTTCTAGAGTTGAGGGTGATTTATTCCAGAATAACTTAGGCAATTCAGAGAATTTAGCTGCCACAGTCTTCCTTCTCATCACAGAAAAAAATGCCTATTGGGATTGATTGCATTTCCTTTAAGATTCTTCATTAGGGAAGGGACTTCACCCTACAGTGTCCCCAAATAACAATAATGTAAGTATCTAAACTGTCATTGAAGAAACACAGAGAAAGGTTTTACAGTTGTAGTTACTTTTATGTTTGCCAAGCTTTTTATATCTTCTTTTCTTTTGTTGAAATGACAGTTCATTGCTAATGTTCCCATACAGAGAACCAAGTCTGTATACAGAGCTCATGAGACAAATAAATGCCTGGCAGGATGAGAGTGGAAATCATTCTTACAAGAAGACATCGTATTTGACTTGGATGCCACAATCCTTGTAAAGGTGAGATCAGAGGAAAGTGAAATGAAGACCTGGAGTGGAAGTAGGTCCTATTTGTTTTCAGTATTTTTCTTTTCAGGCACTGACCCTGGCCTCCCTTATCTCCACTATATAGTACCATGATGTTTATAGAAGCAAAAGTATGCAGAAGAGCTAAATGCAGACACTCAGTTGAAATCTTCTAACCTGATCACAATTTTTTTCCCCCCCTATTATTCAGTGGATATTAACTTCTTTCCCATTATGCTTGTTTTGGTTGGGGTATGGTTAATTTTCTTCATAGTAGGTATTATGGGGCTGCATTTTGGATTTGTACTGGAAACAGTGTTGCTGACACAGGGATGTATTAGTTATTGTTGAGCAGTGCTTACACAGAGTCAAGGCCTTTTCTGCTTCTCACCCTACCCCACCAGTGAGCAGGGGGTGCACAAGGAGTTAGGAGGCAACATAGCTGGGACGGCTGACTCCAACTGACCCAAGGTATATCCCGTAACATATGGCATCATGCTCAGCATGTAAAGCTGGGAGAAGAAGGAGGAAAGGGGGGCATTCAGAGTGATGGTGTTCATCTTTCCAAGTAACAGTTACGTGTGATGGATCCCTGCTTTCCTGGAGATGGAAGTGGGAAGTGCTGAATGATTTAGTTGTTTTGCTCTGCTTGTATATGGCTTTTGTTTTACCTATTAAACTGTCTTTATTTCAACCCACAAGTTTTCTCACTTTTACGTTTCTAATTGTCTCCCCCAGCTCATCAGGGGAGAGTGAGCAAGCACCTGTGTAGTGCTTAGTCATGGGCTGGGGTTAAACCACCACACTTACTATTTGTGTTACCACATGACTCGAGGCTTTAGGAAATCCTAAACTCCAAAGTGGTAGTGAATATAATTGCAAGCCAACAGCTGAAGACATGATGAAACAGGTGGTTAAGAAAACAAATGAGAAGCAGATGTAGCACAGAAATGGGTATCAATCTTACAACTAGAGATTTGAATGTACTGACTATTTAATTTGATAGAATAATCCAGTCTTGCTCAGAAGCCTCCAGCTGGCAGATTTGGATATGGATAGTCTTTATTCATGAACTTGTTTCGCCCTTATAGAAAGAAATGCATTTCTGTAAAACAATTTGCCTGATGTTGTGTTCATGTTCAAGAATGGGTAGATATCTACAGCTTTACCGCATGAACTAATTACTCCATTTCTCATAAGACCCAGGTGTCAGAAATTGTACACAAGGAGCCATGGAAGTTCAGAGTAGTGCTTCCTCCTGGAAATCATACTTGAATGTAAGGATATTACTGACACAGACATTATATAGGCGTTTTCTTGCATATGTATCCTTCTCATTTATCCTGCAAAGGAAGTAGTAACATGGTCTTAGTGAATACCTGGTTTCAGTTCTAGGCTAAGTGAAGAAAAGTGTTATTTTCTTCTGTCATATTCAAAAGTAGAAAGTGTAAAGTGAAAAGAGAAAAGGTCTTTATTAATGCATGTGTAGATATCTGTGTATATTTGAGTTTATATTAAGACATACAGAAACAGCGAGGAAATAGGATAGCTGTCCAAAAGTACCTCCAAACAGTAAAGACTATAGAGGGAGACCAGTTATATATGTGGAAGGACAAAGCAGGAAACAGAACATGTCTTTAGAAAAAGCTCACAGAGAAATTAAAGAAAGGTTTCTAGTTCTTACAAGAGTTGAACTGAGGCAGAGTATCTGGAATTACAACCTATCTAGTTTAAAGCTTAAAATACCTGACAGATTTCTTAACAACTTCACTTGATGCGGGTTTGACTGTTATATTAAAGGGTTGAAGGCGATCCAGTCTTAAGCATTGGATTGCTTTTAGTTTTGTTTTTATTCTAGGAGCTTTTTGGCTGAAGGAGGTTGTAAAGAAAATTATGGCACTGTCAAGTTCTCCACAAATACCATTTTTTTTATAACACTTTTACTGCTTTGTTTTGATTTAGTAAGTTTTGAGAGGATGTTACCCAAAAGAAGGAAGCTGTTTCTCCCTCACCACTTACACTAATCCCTGTGCACTAATACAAAGGACAACTATATTACAGACATCAGGAGATTTATAACCACTTTGACCACGACAGTCGAAGAGTTTTTTGATGGTGCATGGTTTAATTTCTAATTACCTCTTCTGCAACATATCCTCTCTCTTTTGAGTTAAACCTTGTATTTTGCTGGTTAAAACAAACAAACAAAAAGTTTTTGGTTAAATCTATTTATGTTAGAAAATCCCCTTTTAAATAGGACTTGAATTCGCAGAAGTATTGAGCATTTCTAGTTGAGTTTTTAAGACTGTGCGAAGTAACTGAACACAGAATTTAGAATTAGAAGACAGATAGGAACATATGTAAATAGGAACAGAGGACATCTATTCTACCTTTACTATCTGTATTTTGGTATCTCTTCTAACATTTGAGATTGCAGATAGGTCTTTGATTTTTCCACTGATTTCTCCTTAGGAATATATAAGCCCTTTCCAAATTTTTAAACAGATACCTGGCCAGTCCAAACTGGCCCTTAGGTAGTAAAAGGTAAGAAGTTTCAGCATGGTGTCATCCTATCCTCACAGTTTATTACCAATTCCATTATCAAGGTACATTACAAATCTTTCTCAGGAGTTGCAGGAGGATCACTTTGAAAAGAGGTCAGATCTCTTCTTCTATGTTTAAGCACTCATATTTCTTCATCCAAACAAAAGCTGTCTGGGTATCAATTAAAATGCTTTACAAACATTAAACTTTTTCTTTATAGCTTATTAGCAAGCATTTTCAATTTTCAGAAAAATTCAACCAGCTTTGATTTACAGTGTCTCTGTTAACCATCTGAAGCAGCAGTCAGCAGCTGAGGATGCTCATGAAGATGATATGCCAAGAACTATGGTGCTCCACAACACCCACTTCTCATGGTCTCTCAGAGCCCTTCTGTCCCATGGTGTCACCTGAGGATGGCTGAACCGGAGGGATAGATTTTTCTCTTGTTTTTGCTCACCAGTTTCTGGCTTGTTGGCAGTCTTACAAATGTTGGTGAAGAACTGCCAAAGTAGCTTTGCCCACTGTAGAATAACAGCATGGGCTCAGCCCTCCATTCCTGTGTCCCCCCAGCCATTTCCAGCATCCTTGTCTTCCTTCCAGTGGGGCTTCCTCACAGTGAAAAGAGCTCAGCTATTCAATGCCACGTTTCTGAGGACATCAGCAGTTGAAAAGACCCCTGTTCTTGTGAAATGCCTTCCTTGCCCCTGGATACAGGTGAAACGTCATCTCAGCCCCAGAATATACAGTGAATTTTGTTGAGGATCAACTGATCATCCTGAATTTTCAATCAGCCCCATGAATTTTTAAACCTGTTAAGGGTGTTAGGACTAACAAATCTGCCAGCTTTTCCTCAGGCACCTCCATCTGAGTCCTTGGTCTTAATCCAGGAAACTGTATAAGCATACGGTGATATGCACGTGAAAGAGCAGCGTTGCTGGAAATAGGTACAGGTCTAGCATTGAGCAAAAGTTTAGATTCTTTCCTGAACTGGAAGTTTCTGATGAAGCAACTCTTTAGCTCATTCATGTTATCATCATAGCCTGATTTAGGGGTATAGAGCAGCTGTACTGTGTATGTCCTTGGTGTGCTGACTCAAGGCTCAGAGCATAGAGATCATGAAGAACAGCTGGAGGGAAGAAATGATTCTTCCTCATTTTTCCCCAGGTTATTGGAAAAAAGAACATGTTAAAAAGGGAGGAGATTATATTCTTTTCGACACAGCGTGTTTAAAATATCCAGGTTTAACCTGTTATTGAATAATAACAATAAACATCTGTAAATTCTTGTAGCAAGTACATTTGTAACTTCTTACTTTAAGAGAAAACCATTCTTTTCCTTTGATTTGCTGCTGTACTGGTACAGCCTGTGCAGACACATCATTCCTCTACTATCTACATTTTACTGATGTTTAACATTCTGCATATTTTCCTTCTTGCTCTTATCAGCTGAGGCATGAAAGGTTAATACTGCTAATTGTACCTCACATATATATATATACACATATATTTACATCCATATATGCCATGTCTCAGCTTTTGCTGCTGGTGCCAAGGAAAATGTTGGATTCTATTCAGTTTTCTTCATATTCATTTTCCTGCCCACTTAACAAAATTACATTCAATGAGCTGTGGGAGAAATTCACATCAACGGGCCATGTAATGCAATTTCTGGGATATATGAAGGAAGAAAAAATCCTACATTTTCTTTCATTTCTGTCAAAATCAATCAAATTTTACTGAACTGAACATAATCTCTTCAAAAAAATAAAATCACCCAAGCATTTCCAGTGAAATAAGCCTCTCTTACATGGTAACATGCACATATTTAAGAGGTCTCTGTTTTATTTTTTTTTAATCATGCCTAATTAGTTTTTTTTTAATCACCCACACAACTAAGGCTCTTGCCTGCATAATTTATGACATACAGGGGCCGGTGTCAGAAATCAAATGTTGTAAATTAAAAATAACAAGTTTGAGACTAGTGATTCAATTAAAACCCTAGAAAACATTGGATTATGCATAATTGAGAGCTTGTATGCAGAGATGCATGTCATGCTTGTCAGCTTGGATGGGAGGATTGGATTGGAGCTGTCAAGAGCATTTAAATCAACTCAGTAAAAAAATTAGAAAACAAAGATGATATTTATTATTAACTTCCAGTGTTCAAAAATAAACTGAGAGGTATTTAAATTGAATGCTTAGATGACAAGGCTTTATTTATAGCAGAAGTTAGAAAACTCAGTAATAACCCTAGCTGGCACAGAAGTAAAGATACTACTGTGCAGCTGAGCTGCAGCCTACAGTGTGTGGATTCAGCTGTTGGCTCTGAATCAGGTTCAGCTAATAGAAAGCTGTGTTGGAAGAGAAGAAATCCAGATTTTTGAAGGGAGCTGTGAAGGACCAAATCCTTATTTTTATTATCTTTTTCTTCCCTTTCTCTTATTGCTCCTAGAGACTGATCATGCTCCATTAAACACTTTGTGACCTCAAAGAATATGCAAGGCCTTTCTGAGGAAATCCTGACTTGTCATGGTGACCCGCCTCTGAAAGACTACATTTTACAGACAGTAAAGCTAGTTGGTAGGAATAGCTGACGTCCAAGGATTAACAATATCTTCTCACTTCAGCCACACAATCCAGAGTCAGTTCCA